TCTTTGCGTCGGATAACCAAAATAATTGAAATTCAACTTTGAGAGTTGTGTTAAACCTACAAGTACAATACAATTTTTAAAGAAGTTAATACTTACATGACTTCTTAACTATTATTTGTTCAGTTATACTAAAATAAGTATTATATATATTGTACATGTAATGGATTTATCAAAAAAAGTAAATAAGTTATGAAGATTTTATCCTATTCATCTGCACGCGTTGTGAGGCGTAAGCGTGCGCAAGGAATCGTTGGCTCACCTGGATGCCGGTCGGTGGCCAGGCCACGGCGCAGAGGATTGGGGGGGGGAGAAGGGGGCGACGCTGGCCGACCGCCCGCGGCGTCCCCCGGCGCGCTCACGGCCTAAATTAACGGGCGGGCGCTCGCAGCGTCCTCCATCGCCTCCGCGTGCCTCCGTTACACCCTCCGCCGCCCCGCCCTGCCCCACCCGGAGATCTCGCCCGCCGGCCGCCATGCGTCTTTCGAGGCCGTAACCTAGTGGGCGCCCCGCTCCCTCATCCACTTGCACCTCTCACGACGCACGCCCTTCCTCCCGCTCTTTCACTCGCCCACCAACCGACCTTTCATTTGCCGCCCGCCAGTTTCCACAACAATCCACCCACCAACACCGCCATGCGCCGCAGTGCCGTCCGACCCCTCCCACGCGCGCCCAATCGACCACCGGCGCCCGACAACGCCAACGCCAACGACCGCCTTGCCTGCAGCCAGGCACTCATGCCGCCCCGCCACTTCCCATGATGTAACCACCACACTTTTTCGGCACACCTCACAGCCATCGCCGCCCCTCACATAGCTACTCGGCCGCTTTCCCTCATCAACGACTCATCCTCTCAGTCGCCCGTCTCTTCTCTCTCTCCCGCCCTTCTCCTTCCTTCGCTCATGTGCTTCGGATCGTTTTTCCCCGCCTAGCACTTTTCTACCTTGCCCCCTGCGCCCGCCGGGAGCGATGTGTGGAAGGTGGCACTTCGCGGGGGAGGGGTGCGGTGGCTGGGGTCGCCCCTGCCGCCGTTCGTTCTCCTCAGCCCTGACGGCGAATGGGCTTCCAAACCCCGATCGGAGAGCGGCGATAGCGCCGGAATAAAAACTCCCACCGTCCGCGCTACTCAACACCAACACGCTTAATACTGTTTACTACACCTCTCCAGCTTCCGTGGGCTCCATTTCACGCAAGGAACCATTTCCTCCGTACGGACAATTTTAAGTCACTTTTTCTTAGGCAGTAGTTTGAATAGTAGGGTGAGACGTTTTCTTCTGTTTATTTAGCCCTCTTTGGATTTTAGTTTAACATCTAGCACCGTATTGTAGGTGTTTCACAGTAATGTCAATGTTTGTATGTAGCTCATTCTTTGTACAACACTCAAATTCCAGTTTTCTCTGAGGGGGATTGGTAGTTATGATAATTGTATGGCTTGGATGATGATTGGGGAATGGAGAGGCACGGGAAACGGGGGATCTCTTAATCAGTTATCTTCTCTGAGCATATTCTCATTACATGAGTATTATCATCATTATTACTATCTGAATTCCATTGCCTTACCTGGGAGACCATGTCGAGTTTTCTCTTTTCACAACTATCCCAAAATCGCTTATATTTAGTTAAATAATCTATTTATTATTCATTCGAATGATGTGAAGTCAAAATCATATTTTGCCCAGTTGATGTGATACAAATACGCTAAAATATCTCCATCAGCCCGCAGACTTTTGAGAGTGTTCGCGCGTTATGCGTGAAAAGGAGGGCGGTAACGTAACACGCTGCATGTAACCTCATGCGCTGCTGCTATCGGCTTTCGATATTTTAAAACGGCCGGCACGAGCAAAGTGTATTTTGCAGTAAGGAATTTCGTGCTTATAAAGTGTCATGAGGCAACGAATATGCGCCTAATATTATTTCAAAAAAATCAATTTGAAATAGTAATATTTCAGAGTTGTATACATTTCATATTGACGTAAGAAATATATTACAGCTCCATGTGTAATAAATTAAGAGGTTATCTCTGTTCAGGTCATCTATATTCATGGGTTTATTCTCCCAATTACAGACAATTTGAAGCCATATTATTGAAAGAAAAATAGCGAATATTAAACGTAGTGGAAATTTCCTTTAGAGAGAAAAATATGAAATATTAAATGAAGTATTTTTAGATAAATTTAATAAGCGTTTTCCCGTCAAACGTTATTTACAGGCCTTCAGCGCACTATATAAAGATCAAAGAAAATTCCTTTCTTTGACTTGACACTCTAAAAATAGATCTCCACTCGTTATAATAGTGATGTGAACACACGTAAGTCTCCGTTCTTACAACGTCAACCTCACGGGCATCTTTCACGAGTCCCTCGGCGATTCTCATAACACTCGCGTCCGAACATTAAAAATTCCTCAACTCCATTATCCGAAAACGACGCCAGCCGGCCTGGAGCGTATTTAACCCGCTTTCGCCGTCATCTCGCGAGCTCGTTGTCGGCGCGTATGGCACGCACCGGTAAGGTTCCCCATGCAAGGGCAGGCGGTGTTCGCCCGGGGCGGTGGGGGGCGACGCGAGGGGCGAGAGGCGGGCGAGGCCGGGCGAGGCGCGCGTCGCCCGCCGGGGGCGATGGATTCGTTGCCTTTAATAACAGGTGAGTGACAGTTGGAAACAGGTACCGTTCGGGGGCTCGAGACGGGGCGCCGCCGGCGGCGCGGTCTGTCGGCGGTCGACCCAAACATAAGCGTAGCGCCGCTCGCGCAAGCCATAATTCACGGAAAGAATGCCTCGCCCCGGGCCAAAAATGCTTCATCTTTCGTAAATTACGAATCTGTCCGATCGCTCACCCGGCCGACCGCCGCCGGCGCGTGGGAATGGTCAAGGCCAGTCGGCCGGTGTCGGGTGAACAATGAAGGGCGCCGAACGCGATAATTATTGTGTAATTTTGAGGAGGAAATCCACAACCGGCCACGAGGAACTGGCCCGCTCTGCAAAAAAACACGAGCGCCCGGGCCGTAAGTACGGTTTTTTTCCTTTCTAACGCGCTTGACAGGTTAATAACATTGATCGCGGGCCGCATTTTCGGAAATCAGAGTACGATGCTAATATATCGCGGCCCGGTGCTCCAGCAGTAATGGGAGACGCCGGCAATTATTTCTGCACGAAAGTTTAAGCGGCCGGGTTCCGGCGGCTGCAATGTAGTCTGGTGCCGGCGGACGCAGGATGGCTCGCAGCGGTCGCTCGTGTGTCGTGCTGTTCCAAGAACAGCTGGAACGAAGCGGCCTCAAGCGAGGAGCGTTCTGCACCGTGCACCTGTACGTTTCCACGTGTTCGTTAGAAGTGGCCGCGATGTTTTTGCGACGTAACCTGAAAGCAAACAGTTCGTGATTATACGAACCATTGGTATCCTTGTTTACGGGCTGATTCAGAAGAATCGTCTTTTGAAGTAGTTGCCCTTTTTAAGCAGCTGCTCCTGTAAATGTCCTTGTCCGTTCGATTGGTACAAAGGATTTGAAAATGTGGAACAAATATTAGGAAAATAAATGTAACAAATAGCGAGACAGGTGATCGATCTTGCAAGAAGCGTAGTAGATTGTTCTCTTTATAAAGTCAATAGTCGAAGAGGAATAAATGTTTAAAGGGAATGCATGAAGACAGCGTCCCAAACTGGTTTCTTTCCGAAACAAGAAACGTAACTTTCTAATGAAGGCTGACTTGAACTTCTTTCAGAAGATGGTACATGTAAGACGAGCTGAATATTTGAAGATCGATCAATTTAGTCTGCAGTAGAACACAAAGAAATTTATCAAACGATATAGTTCAGATAGCGAAAAATTTTCAACTAAGAAACATTCGCGTATGATTCATCATTACATTTATTGAAGCAAAAACTAACATAATGTTTGATTCCTTCATTTGGTGTCCCATTGTTCTTTAAATATGTCATTTTATTTTCTACTTCGGTTTAATTCACCTCAAAGTTTTTCTTTCCTTTCTTGGTGTAGCGAATAAGAGTGCGTGGAAGCAAAATATAAATCAATGTACGGAAAATAACAATAGACTGTTGTGTATTGAGGGCTGTTGTACAAGCAGCCATTGCAAAGAATTTTGTTTCCCCATCTTCCTTTTTTCAGTTAAAACTGACCACATGACCGGCTGTGCAACGCACGCGTCACATGTTTCCGATGTTTAAATTGAGATTTAATGAAATGAAACGACTCAAATTATTTTCTCTTCCACAATGATTTTGAATCTCTCTGCAACAGTCACAATACAGAAAGTTTCGTTTCATAATATAAGGAACTCGGGAATTAATCTAAACGTTATTTTTTGCCAAAACTTTTTATAGTTTCATGTGTTTAAAAGGTTATCGGACAATTTGTTCTCAAATGTTTCCCAGTAAAGTTAAGCACGCCACAACGTATTCTTTGGAAGACACTGAGCGTGAATAGGCCTGAAAGAGGTTGTGTAATAGGAACCAACCATGTGTTCTTTATCGACGTTCGGCCGTAAGGTAAAAAGGATCAGCTCATTTCAAGGAAGACCCACTTTTTTCTTGCTTTTGTCCCCATGGCCATTAGTGTGAAAACATGCAGACTACAGCACTTTCCCAAAGAAATCCATACATCTGAATGTGCGTCTCAGGCAAAGGAAAAATTTCGTGAATTAATTGTGTTTTTTACTACATCAAAGCGTGTTTCTCTTTGAAGTGAGTGCGTAGGATTCAAAAGAGGCATGGGCTTTTTTTAAAGAGTGCAACGAAAGCTTCGAGCACTAAAGAATACACCTGCGTTTCTGTGGAGATTTTTATAGACTTCCTATGATTATTGCCTTCGTCGAATGACGTGCTATACGCTAGTAATTACTGATATAATTAAGACAAATTACAAACCTGTCGTTTTTAATGTTACATTGCATGCTGTTTTTGCTGTTTTTAATTTTTTAATTTTTTGTTTTGTTTTGTGCCTGAATGCAGTCCCTGACTTTCATTTTTGGTTTTCTTTTCTTTTTTCAGGCGGTTGCGTGGCCGATCGAGTAGAAAGTAGTGGATTAATACAGTATTCAGAAAGGTGCTCCAGAGAACGAATGAAAGAAAGTAAACGCCTCTTATTACGTTCACATTTACGTTCAATTTTTTGACTTTTGTACACTTGTATTTTCGTTGTAAGAAGCTGAATGAATGAGTGTATGAATGTACGCACTCGACTCGCTGAGTGCTACTGTAATATTTGTATTTATTTTATAAATCATATGCTTGTGTATATGTGTAAATATGTATGAAAATATTATACAACAATTTTTCTCACAGAACTGTGTTTTTTCAATTTCTTAATTATTTTCTCCCTTCTTTATCCTATTAGTATTACCTGATCCTTTGTGTACACATTAATTTCTTTTTCCAACTATTGTGTAGTAATTTTATGTATAAAAAACGCCAGGTTTCAAAGTAGATGCAATTAATGTCATTGATCCCGCAAAATAATAGAAAAAATTATAAAGTGAATAATATTAAATACAACAAAGAAAATAATATAATGATTCAAAAACAGGCTACTCTGCTACCAAAATAATTTCATTTCTCAATATATCTTCATTTACATAAAAATATATTGCTAGTCTGAAGAGACCCATTAAAGAGTACTGGTATGCAAGTGGAATGGAATATTACAAATTGTTCAATAATATCAGAGATGATATTTCAATAAAATGCTTTGTATCAACGTACGAGTAATGTCTTTTACAAAAGAAAGGCATTTTCAGTTTACTTATATCATAACTACGTTCGTACACACAAAGAAAAACATTTGAATAAAATTAAAAATAAATACTACCAATGAAAGTTTTTACCTTAGAGCAGGTATAGACTTGAAATAAATTATTATTCGTGTATTATTATGAACACGTAACGTGCACACTCTTCAATTACAGGTAAAATACAGAAATGCACGAAGTTAAATTGAATTTTAAAAATATCCACACATTTCAGTATACATCGCTAATTCAATGCATTACTGTCATGATACAAATCTTAAAAACTTTTTTTCAATTTAAGTAAAAACAAATTATAATATTCAAACGCATTTTTGACTCACCTTAAACTTTTTTTTGTCATGAAAGAGTTGCATTTAATGTGCGATGTGTTGTATATTACACATATGTACGTCGCAAACTATACTATGTAAACTTCATTAACCACAGATAACCTTCACCTACAATTAAGCGTATGTGTGTTGAGTAGCGAAATATTATTGAAATTTCAATAATATTCATTTCATTCAAAGAACATCCAACAGACAAGTGGTCTTTTTAAACATTATATATTTTAAATGATTGTAAAGGAATAATGAATGGGTTACTGCTTATCTCAATCAAATGAGTTTTGAGAAAAAGTGGGACATATAATAAATGTTTATATACATCGAATTATTTTGAATTTTATTTCTGACTGGGACACAGTACTAAACATTTTCGACAAGACTGTGGCGAGAAGAGGATGGGAACCAGTAAGCGGCGAAAACAAGATTTCTGTGCTTCTGTTTACCATGATTCGCGCCATTGGCGGCTGGTGACTGCTAACAGTGGGTAAACACAAGATATATATGTGTAGATAGATGACTTACTGCAGATATTTACTCTGGCGCCGCCGTAGGTCTTTTACTGAGTCATCTGCAAAGTCGTCTTGGGGTGTGTTCACACTTAGTGAGCATGTTATTGGCCTTCCTGGCCTGCCAAAAAGTCCTCAACAAATTTCAAGACAATATTTTCTAATTTTGATTAAGTTCTTATTTATGGAATAAATTCAATTTTTATCCTGCTCAATATGATCATTATACTTAATGAGAAATGTAGGATAGATGTACCGCTTATCTAAAATATTAATATTTTAAAAAGATAATTGATTTTTATAGTCAAGCCTTCTATCACTTACTGGAATGACAATTCTCTGGAACATTTGTATAGCCAGATTTGAGCACTTGTTCAAAAGCTTCCGTATGGCCTGAGAGCATTCGTTAGAAATGTACATTTAATTTCAAATAAATACATTACATCAAATAGTGCATCGTGTGCATGATTTTTAAAAATTGCATATGGTGAGAAAGTTACACAACTTTGTTTGCTCATTTTGATGGAAATAATGTATTGAATTTTTTTCAAAAACAGCATAAAGTATCTTTGGTACGACTAAAGGAGATAAGGTGGAGTTTCTGTTCTAAAGCTTCACGTTCTCAGTTTTTATATGAAAGATAAAACTATTACAAAATAATGCGAAATAAATCATAATAATGAATTCATAATAAATATTCATCTAGACTTTTATAACAAACATCTACACAATACGTCCATACTACGCAAAATTATTATATTATTCATCGTACGGTGCATAGAACATTCATCTAAGCAGTATGTTCCTGTTCTACAAAATAATTATATTTTTTGTGGCTTTATTTCGAAATAAAAAAAATTGATTTTTGTTTTGAAATACACAGCAATGATACTACAAAATAATGTACGAATTGACAAAGCTATAGAAGTTAAAAAGACGATAACATTTGTTTATATTTCCACTCATATTCACTTAAGACAGAATTTCTACGGCATCCGATGATATTTTTATGTTAACCCTGAAATACATAATATGCGTTGTTTGCATTCTGGAAGAGACAGACAAGTGGGTCGAGCCCACTTGAAACAAGTGCAATGGTTTGTTGCTCATCTTCCGCTGTGCTGCTTTTCCAAAACATACAGATCAGATTTCAATGTATTCAATAATAATATGAGGAGAGAAAGTGATATTACCCATGGAAATTGTTGAATGTGTAATGAATGGAATGTTCCCGTTTGTATTAGTTTTTTAACGGTTTATTAGTTTGCATTTCTCATTTTTTATTTCAATTTTAATTATGTGGAGTAGTGAAAACACCATAGTACGTGAAGTAAATTGTTTAGTACTGAGCTGTCGACGTACAGATGCAGCCACCAAAGCGTTCGTACTCGACACGTCTTGGCTCACCTTGGTGACAGCTTTGCTCACTAATGTAAGCGCGAGATATATTATAAGTTTCGTCATACATTTTTTGTTGTTAGTGTCCTTGGAAACCTTGTATTTTCGACTTTTTTTTTCTTTATTTCCCCTTCTGATGGATATGGGAACGTTAATTGTTACAAGTACGTCGTAGTCACAAGGAGCCATGGATTCAGTTCCCGGTAGGGAGTAACTACTGATTGAAAAATTTGAATACGTTTGTGGCGTAGTAACAAAGAGACATCAATAGTTACACTAACTGTGTGGAATGTAGTTCTGACATAATTGACTAACCAATAAGTATCAGAAATGTCAGAATTATCGCAGGAAAATAATGAATGCATCTGCATGAATTTCTTATGCATCTTGAGGACCTTGTTTCTTTCCATCATGTTCACTACTTTATTTTCACCCTGCGTGGAAATGATAAAGGTTGCAGTTACGAGCTTCATTGAAGGCAAATGCAATGTCTTTGCCAAAAGTAATGTTTGAGATCTTGTTTCCTGCCACCGTGTTTCTCATTTCCTCGCTGCATAGATAAAGGAAGGATAATTTTCACAGGATGCTACATCGAATACAAAATACTCTCTTTAAGTTTTAATAGTGAATTTTCGGCTCTTCTCCCTTAACGTAAGGAACGTGAAGGAACTGACTCACTTCCACGAGAACGTGTCGAACGAAAACGGTCTCGCAAGCGTAATGGAGTCTCATCTATAACCTCGAACTTTTAAGGTTAGTTGACGATTCGCTACGTGTTTAGAATTTTACGACTAGGCTCCGGCCTTCAGCCAGCGTGCATAAAACATTCTTCAGCCTGACCAAGGCATAATTTTCAACGCATTTTTTTTTTCAAAAATATTTTTAGTTAATTAAAAAGCGCCATTATCATTTAAACCACGAAATGAAATGCTCTCGTTCTTCACTTTCGTTCACCGATCGCGCGACGGCAGAGTCGATTTGTTATGATAAAGGATAGGAAATTTTTATCCATATTAGGGAACTATTTCTTTCCACCGTTTTCATTCTCCAATTAACACCAGGTGAATTCCGGAGCAGTACCCTAACGAACGGACCACGGATCGCGCGCTAACTTATACGCACACATACTTACACACCGTTACATGCACTACACTATCGTACATATCAGGATAGGATAGAGTTTGTCCCGCCTGGGATGTTGCCACGCTGGTGGGAGATACCTGGATGTGGAAACACAACGTGTAAGTCGGCGCTGGATCTCACCATCCAGTGGAGGAAAATTAATACCACGCCCGCGCTAGTTGCATTACACGTATGGGAATAATGACTTTAGCCATTGTCGCGCCCGGGTTCACACAACTTTGTCAAGCAATTAGTCAATCAATCTTTGGATATTGGGGAGCTTTTTTTTTTTTTTTTTTTTTTTGTTCAGTGCAAGTTGTTACTCTGACCGACTCGAAATCCAGGTTCTGAGGTTCGAGTCCCGAAGATGTAAGGATTTTCGACCCTAAGCAGACAGACTAGGACGAATTCTGTCGCTGTCTGGAAGAGAATTCTAGCATCCGGTTGCTCCGGACGGTAGTTTTCGGTCTTTCAATTCCAGACGAATGCCGGAGAAGTATCCTACCAAACGGGTCACGCATCGCGCGCGATCTTTCTCCCCATTCCTTGCCCAACCTACTATCACCCCTTTCACACACACTTACATGCACTTACACTACCACATGCCGGGATAGTTGTCGGGAGCTTAGAGCTTGTCCTGTCAAGGAAGGTACCACGGCTGGTAGGAGACACCAGGTTAGGGAAACCCCACAAGCCGACCTATAATTCGGCGCTGGATTTCGACATCCTGCGGGGGAAGATCACCTCCAGTTCAGGCGATAAAAACATGCACCACACTTACGGGGCTAATCACCCTGACTGTTGACACGTCCGGAAACGACAATCAATCAATCAATTAATCCATCGTGTTCACTTCACGTGGACACGAGAAAGGTGTAAGTTGTCAGTAGGTATGCAAACGCCGGCATTGACAGAAGTAGTGGGTGAGCGGAGACAGTGTCCTTCCCGCCGGTGCAGTGGTGAGGAGGGGCGAGCGGGCGGCCGGCCATGCTGCGAGCGCCGGTGCGGTGTGCGCGTGCTGTGGGAAGAGGCGGGCGGAAGGCTTAGCAGGGCGGCCATAACGCGCGCAGCAGGAGCCCGAGCGCATTGTGGCTAAAATAGATGCCTTATTTGGACCAGCGCCCCGCCTCACCCACCCAACCCCGCACGCCTATGTCTCCTCAAGACGGACTAGATGGCGTTCTAC